ACCACTCTTCGGGTAGTGCTGCACGTTGCTGCTCACCGTGACTACGAGCTGCACTCTCTCGACTTCAGCACTGCTTTCTTGCAGGGCAGCCTGCACGAGGAGATCTGGCTGCGTCGCCCACCTGGCTTCACGGGGTCTTTCCCTCCTGGTACCCAGTAGAGTCTCCGGCGTCCAGTCTACGGTCTCCGCCAGGCGCCACGTGAGTGGCACGACACACTGAGGACTACGCTGGCGGCACTTGGGTTTGCTCCTTCTACTGCCGACCCGTCGCTGTTTCTGCGCACCGACACCTCTCTGCCGTCGTTCTACATCCTCGTGTACGTCGACAACTTGGTCTTTGCCACAGCTGACACTGCTGGACTCGCCTACGTGAAGTCCGAGCTGCAGAAGAGACACACGTGCACTGACCTGGGTGAACTGCGCAGCTACCTTGGCTTGCAGATCACCCGGGACAGAGCACGCCGCACCATTACCCTGACTCAGTCACACATGGTCCAGCAGGTCCTTCAGCGCTTCGGCTTCACGTAATCCTCGCCTCAGGCCACTCCTCTGCCTACTCGCCACTCGCTCTCAGCTCTGCCTTCGGATGAGTCCGTAGAGTCGAGTGGCTCGTATGCAGAGCTTGTTGGCTGCCTCATGTACCTGATGACCTGCACACGACCTGACCTTGCATACCCTCTTAGCATTCTCGCACGCTATGTTGCTCCTGGGAGACACCGACCAGAGCACATGGCTGCAGCGAAGAGGGTGTTGCGCTACTTGTGCAGTACGTCGGGCATGGGGCTAGTGCTTGGAGGGCGCAGTCCAGTGGTCCTCACTGGGCACGCGGACGCTTCTTGGGCTGACGACCAGGCTACGCAGCGGTCGTCACAGGGTTACACCTTCAGCCTTGGTTCCGTCTCTGTTTCGTGGCGGGCTACCCGCTCGTCTTCTGTTCTCGGCTCCAGTTGTGAGGCTAAGATCTACGCCGGGGCCATGGCTGCCCAGGAGCTTCGCTGGCTCACCTACCTGCTGACCGACCTTGGAGAGCCGCCTCGTTCTCCTCCAGTCCTGTACGTAGACAACAAGGCCATGCTGGCCTTGTGTCGAGAGCAGCGACTGGAGCACAGGACAAAGCACATTGCTCTCCGCTACTTTCTTGCTCGTGAGCTACAGCAGCGTGGACAGTTGCGACTTGCGTACGTGGCCTCTGAGGCCAACACTGCTGATGTCTTTACCAAGGCACTTGCGCCTTGTGATCATCAGCGCTGCTGTACGCAGCTGGGTCTTGTGCCTGTCTTGCCTCACTTGCTCACTTCTTCACCTTGCTTGTACCTTCACCTATATATACTCTTGCTCTTGCTTGCTTGACTCTTGTATATCTCTGTATATGATCTTGCATGTGAACTGGCCTTGTGGCCTTTGAACTTGTGCTCGGAATGTGTGGTGACTTTGTGATCCACCCTGAGCTTTGCTTTGCTTTGCTTGACTGGTCTTGTGACCCCTTGTTCTCCCCCACTTTGCCTATGGGGGTGTGTCAGAACATTATAGCTTACTTATTTGTGTAGGCTATAGTGGGGTATCCCATAGGGGGTACAACCCAATTAGGGTTTCCTATTTGTACTCACTTCGTTCATAGTCATTTCATCCTCGTTCACATTTTCTCAATTACAACCAAGCACAAGCACGCATATATATTTCGCCTAACATACATGCAAAGGAAAATAACAAACACTTGATAAACTGCATTTCTAGGACTTTGCCTTGTTGTCTGGAAAACGGTTGCCAAACTTCTGCTACATTTGGCTTGATCCGAGTCCTTAAACTGTCTTCAAATTTCATGTCTGCCAAATTCCCCCGCTGAGTCCTCTAGCAAACGCACATGTAGAATCATGAACGCTCGTGTGGGAATTCCCGTTTTCCCACGCTTCACAGTTGTAAAACGGTTTTCACCGTTTCGTACCTGTAGTGAGACTGTCGCGTTATGTGCGCGACTTTCTGGCGAAATTCCTCTGTTTGCCGAGTTAGCGCGAATTCAGTTTTTCAACTGTAATTCCAGGCTCCCCACGTGCCACACGCACGACCGAGATATTTCTCGGTCGTGCAGGACAAAACGCCCGCGTCAGGAACACTCATGAATGAAACAGGAACAGTCACGAGCAAACATGAGCGCACATGAACGAATGCGAAAACAAATGAACGCTCATGAAGCTTGCACGAACAGCACGCGGACATCCATGAACACGCGAAGGCTCACAAAAGCACATGATTACTCGGAAATTTACGCACCTTCATGACGCAACACGAACAACACGAGATTCACGCGAACAATCATGAAAACACATGAATGCAACCTCACACTAAAATGCACATAACTCATGAACCGCTAAGGCGATTCACAAACTGTAAATGCCAAAATGATCAGTAAACAAATGCGCATTCCACACCACATAAAATACCTTAAAACAGATACCTTCAAATTTCACATCGCTCGACGAATAGGCGACAGGTTGACGTGCAAAATAAGTTTTGCACCCAACAATAAATACCATGAAATAATCTCAACACCAAAAGTTGTTGGCATACGTCTCAATTACATATGTCAATTTGAGGAAGGTTGAGTAATTGAAAAACTTAAGGTGAAATAGCAGCCACCTCTGCACGTGTTTACCATCAACCTCATTCTCCATACCGTGCACCGTGTCCGCCAAGAGGGTGTTCTCATCTACCAAAATATAAACACTCGCTCATTACAAAAACATCCACGGATTGGGGGGCGTAATGGGTGTGCAATAGGGAACGGAAGAGGGAGAGGAACGGGGGTGAAGGAACAATTAGAGAGCACGGAGAAAGGAACGGGGGTGCAAGTAGCACTCATCATGGCGCGCCCAGCATGGCTATACTAAAGTGTCTAGCTCAACTGGAGTAATAACGTGCCATCGGGGTTGTGGTAATCCCAGTTTGTTTGTGTGAGCTGGAGCTCATAGTATGAAAAGCACCCATTCGGTAAATCTGACTTCTTGAAAGCGAACTTGCAATATCTGTTGATGTACAAGCCGAGGTTCATAATCTATTCAGCGTTGATTTTCTTAGACATGCTCAGCACCAAACAAAAACGTCAAAAGCATGACGTACAATGATTGGAACGAATGTTGACGTGCTTTAATAACATCTCATTGAGCTAGCGGAGGAGTGCCTTAGAAGGGGAGTGAATGAGTGAGCTAGTAGGGAGTGAAGGAGAAAATATGGCACGAAAGTGAGCTAGCAGGGAAGTGAGATTATAAGGGCGTCAGCTAGCAGAGGAGTGAGCAGCAGGGGGGTGAAGGAGTAAGCTAGCAGGGAAGAGAGATAGCAGTGTCAGAGGTCCACTGGTGATCCCCGATAGATCCTAGGGAAGGGTTACAGGCACGTTGGCTTGGGGGGTTATGGGCACACTGACCCGCTACTTAAACAAGCCCTTTTACCCCAATGGTCTAGTGGTTGGGATTCTGACATGGTATCAGAGCGAAGGTCTCGGGTTCGAATCCCAGAGTATGCACTTCGGGCATCCCAATGCGGGGGGGTGTCAGAGGTCCACTGGTGATCCCCGATTGATCCTATGGAAGGGTTACAGGCACGTTGGCCTGTGGGGTTATGGGCGCACTGACCTGCTACTTAAACAAGCCTTTATATCCCAATGGTCTAGTGGTTGGGATTCGGACAAGCAGGAGTCCGAGCTAGCAGGAGTGTGAGCTGGCATGGAAGTGAGCTAGCAGGGGAGTGATCTAGCAGATGAGCGATTTAGCAAGGGGGTGAGCACTGATGCATACATTTACAACTTCATCGACTATTTCAGACGGGTCGTAACGTAATCTCCGGCATATGGTGTCAGAATATATCTGTAACTGCCTGTAGCTATAGTTAGTGTAGTTATTATAAACTTCGTTTGGTGGTGGACCTTCTTTGTTTCTTTGCTATATGTTGTTGCCAACCTATAGTGAAGCCATCTTTCTCCTCTCTCAACTTTCTCGACATTCTCCTTACCCTAAACCTCAACTACTAAGACTCTCACTAGCTATGGCTCCTAAGCCCTCTAAACGCTAGTATCTTAACATGGTATTCAGAGCAGGTATGTTCCTGCTGCCTTCCTGCTTCCGCTGCCTATCGTCTTGCCGTGCGCCTCGGGCGCGCGGCGTGGCGCACGGCGATTTTCTGTCCGCCGTGCCCGCCGTGCGCCCTGGGCGCGCGGCGTCTTCCTGCCCCGCGCGTGGCCTGCCCTCACGCCGCCTGCGCGCCTGCCTCACGTCCACGGGCGGGCCTGATTTGCCCGCCCGTACCCTCCACTTCGCGGCGCCCTGCGAGGCGCCGCTCATGCTCGTCGCGACGCACCTGCGGGACCCGGGCGTCGTCGCTCCTGCTCGTCGCGACGCCCCTGCAGGACCCGCACGGCGTCGCCTTGCTCGTCGTGACGCCACGCCGGGACCCGCGGGGCGTCGCCACTGCTCGTCGCGGCGCCCCCTGGACGCCGCCCCTTCTCGTCGCGGCGCCCCTGGGGCGTCGCCCCTACTCGTAGCGGCACCCCTTGGGCGCCGTTCCTACTCGTCGCGGCGCCCTCCCCCCTGGCCACCGCCTCTGCCTCACCTGCGCCCGCGCCAGCGTTGCAGCTGAGCGCGGGCCTACCTTGCACCAGCGCCGCCCCTGGACCTCAGCAGCAGCCCCTGGAGCAGCCGCCCCAGCAGCAGCAGCCCCTGGAGCCGCCGCCCCAACAGCAACAGCCCCTGGAGCCGCCGCCACTGCAGCAGCCGCCCCAGCAGCAGCAGCGCCTGGAGCAGCCGCCCCAGCAGCAGCCCACGGCACCGACCCCATAGCTGTATGCACCGCCGCTCTTGGACTCGGTACGGCTGCCCGTGCCTGTGCTGCCTGTTGCTGTCCGTGCCTGTGCTGCCTGTTGCTGTATGTGCCTGTGCTGCCTGTTGCTGCCTGTGCTTGTGCTGCCTGTTGCTGCCTGTTGCTGCCCGTGCCTGTGCTGCCTGTTGCCGCCCATGCCTGTGCCGCCCGTTGCCGCCCGTTGCTGCCCGTGCCTGCGCTGCCCGTTGCCGCCCGTTGCTGCCCGTGCCTGTGCTGCCCGTTGCCGCCCGTTGCTGCCCGTGCCTGTGCTGCCCGTTGCTGCCTGTGCTTGTGCTGCCTGTTGCTGCCTGTTGCTGCCCGTGCCTGTGCTGCCTGTTGCCGCCCGTTGCTGCCCGTGCCTGTGCCGCCCGTTGCCGCCCGTTGCTGCCCGTGCCTGCGCTGCCCGTTTCCGCTTGTTGCTGCCCGTGCCTGTGCTGCCCGTTGCCGCCCGTTGCTGCCCGTGCCTGTTGCCGCCCGTTGCTGCCCATGCCTGTGCTGCCTGTTGCCGCCCGTTGCTGCCCGTGCCTGTGCCGCCCGTTGCTGCCCGTTGCTGCCCGTGCCTGTGCTGCCTGTTGCCGCCCGTTGCTGCCCGTGCCTGTACTGCTTGTTGCCGCCCGTTGCTGCCCGTGCCTGTGCTGCCCGTTGCCGCCTGTTGCTGCCCGTGCCTGTGCTGCCCGTTGCCGCCTGTTGCTGCCCGTGCCTGTGCTGCCCGTTGCTGCCTGTTGCTGCCCGTGCCTGTGCTGCCTGTTGCCACCCGTTGCTGCCCGTGCCTGTGCTGCCCGTTGCCGCCTGTTGCTGCCCGTGCCTGTGCTGCCCGTTGCTGCCCGTGCCTGTGCTGCCTGTTGCCGCCCGTTGCTGCCCGTGCCTGTGCTGCCCGTTGCCGCCCGTTGCTGCCCATGCCTGTGCTGCCCGTTGCTGCCTGTTGCTGCCCGTGCCTGTGCTGCCCGTTGCTGCCTGTTGCTGCCTGTGCCTGTGCTGCCTGTTGCTGCCTGTTGCTGCCCGTGCCTGTGCTGCCAGTTGCCGCCCGTTGCTGCCCGTGCCTGTGCTGCCCGTTGCTGCCCGTGCCTGTGCTGCCTGTTGCCGCCCGTTGCTGCCCGTGCCTGTGCTGCATGTTGCCGCCCGTTGCTGCCCGTGCCTGTGCCGCCCGTTGCCGCCCGTTGCTGCCTGTGCCTGCGCTGCCCGTTGCCGCCCGTTGCTGCCCGTGCCTATGCTGCCTGTTGCCGCCCGTTGCCGCCCGTGCCTGTGCTGCCTGTTGCCGCCCGTTGCTGCCCGTGCGTGTGCTGCTTGCGCCCTTGTGCGCTCTGCTCTGCCTGCGCCCTCGTGCGCTCTGCTGCTGCCCGTGCCCTCGTGCGCCCTGCTGCTACCCGCGCCCTTGTGCGCTCTGCTCTGCCTGCGCCCTCGTGCGCCCTGCTGCTGCCCGCGCCCTTGTGCGATCTGCTCTGCCTGCGCCCTTGTGCGCTCTGTTCTGCTCTGTCGCCCCCCCCCCCCCCCCCCCCCCCCCCCCTTCTTCGACTCCTTGCTGCGCGTGCAGCCGTGGAACGGAGGCTATGGGGGTGGCGGGTATGGGGGTGATGGGTGTGTGTGTTCCCCTTCCCCTCCTCCTCCTTTCTCTCCCACTACTGCAGCTGCCGCTGGGGGGGGTGGGTCTGAGGGTGTGGGGGAGCTGGGAGAGAGGTGCTAGGGTTGTCAAGGAGTGTGGAAGGGGGAGTTGGAGGACTGAGGAAGGTTCCAGGAAGCAGCCGCCTTGGAGCCAGCAGCTTCACCTGCCAGCAGCCTCTCCTCATATAGTCCCTCCTCCTCACTTTCCCTCTCATTCTGTTGCGCATGGTGTACCCATTCAGGGGGTGTCTCTGCATTAGCTTCTACTGCAGGCAGTTATGGGGGAGTGTCAGAATATATCTGTAACTGCCTGTAGTTATAGTTAGTGTAGTTATTATAAACTTTGTTTGGTGGTGGACCTTCTTTGTTTCTTTGCTATATGTTGTTGCCAACCTATAGTGAAGCCATCTTTCTCCTCTCTCAACTTTCTCGACATTCTCCTTACCCTAAACCTCAACTACTAAGACTCTCACTAGCTATGGCTCCTAAGCCCTCTAAATGCTAGTATCTTAACATATAGCACCCGGGGGACTCTCATGAAATTTATTAAAAATATAGTATGGTGGACATTATAAAGACATGGGAATTTTAAGACCCTCGGACATCTATTTATCCCGTATCGAAGCCGTTTTCTATTCCGTCTACATGCATCTGCGGAGGAGGAGGGGGAGGGGGGGGGGGGGGGATATATTTCGCACATGACAAAAAACAAATGTCCATTATATTTTGCGAATTAACGCACTGGATGTATCAGATGCGTCAGATTTCGAGTCTAACGCGCAGGATCTATCAGAATAATAATAATTGAGAAATTATGAACGAGAATGGAATGAACTATGAATGAGGTGAGTACAAGTACTAACCCTAATTGGGTTGTACCCCCTATGGGATACCCCACTATAGCCTACACAACAGCATAAGCTACAATGTTCTTACACACCCCCATAGGCAAAGTGGGGGAGAACAGGGGGTCACAAGACCAGTCAAGCAAAGCAAAGCAAAGCTCAGGGTGGATCACAAAGTCACCACACATTCCGAGCACAATTTCAAGGCCATAGGGCCAGTTCACATGCAGGAGTACATATATATATAATGCTAGACAAGCAAGAGCAGGTATATATATATGTAACAGTACAAGCAAGGTCAAGAGGTGAGCAAGTGAGGCAAGACAGAGACAAGACCCAGCTGAGTGCAGAAGCGCTGATGATCACAAGGCGCAAGTGCCTTGGTGAAGACATCAGCAGTGTTGGCCTCAGAGGCCACGTACGCAAGCCGCAACTGTCCACGCTGCTGTAGCTCACGAGCAAGGAAGTAGCGGAGAGCGATGTGCTTCGTTCTGTGCTCTAGTCGCTGCTCTCGACACAAGGCCAGCATGGCCTTGTTGTCTACGTACAGAACTGGAGGAGAACGAGGCGGCTCTCCAAGGTCAGTCAGCAGGTAGGTGAGCCAGCGAAGCTCCTGTGCAGCCATGGCCCCATCGTAGATCTCGGCCTCACAACTGGAGCCTAGAACAGAAGACGAGCGAGTAGCCCGCCACGAGACAGAGCCGGAACCAAGGCTGAAGGTGTAAACCTGTGACGACCGCTGCGTAGCCTGGTCGTCAGCCATAGAAGCGTCTGCGTGCCCAGTGAGGACCACCAGACTGCGCCCTCCAAGCACTAGCCCCATGCCCGACGTAACGCACAAGTAGCGCAACACCCTCTTCGCTGCAGCCATGTGCTCTGGTCGGTGTCTCCCAGGAGCAACATAGCGTGCGAGAATGCTAAGAGGGTATGCAAGGTCAGGTCGAGTGCAAGTCATCAGGTACATGAGGCAGCCAACAAGCTCTGGGTACGGGCCACTCGACTCTACGGACTCATCCGAAGGCAGAGCTGAGAGTGATTGGCGAGTAGGCAGAGGAGTGGCCTGAGGCGAGGAGTACGTGAAGCCGAAGCGCTGAAGGACCTGCTGCACCATGTGTGACTGAGTCAGGGTAATGGTGCGGCGTGCTCTGCCCCGGGTGATCTGCAAGCCAAGGTAGCTGCGTAGTTCACCCAGGTGTGTCTCTTGTGCAGCTCGGACTTCACGTAGGCGAGTCCAGCATTGTCAGCTGTGGCAAAGACCAAGTCGTTGATGTACACGAGGATGTAGAACGGCGGCAGAGAGGTGTCGGTGCGTAGAAACAGCGACGGGTCAGCAATAGAGGGAGCAAACCCAAGAGCCGCAAGCGTAGTCCTCAGTGTGTCGTGCCATTCACGCGGTGCCTGGGGGAGACCGTAGACTGGCCGCCAAAGGCTCCACTGGGTGCCAGGAGGAAAAGTCCCAGTGAAGCCAAGTGGGCGACGCAGCCAGATCTCCTCGTGCAGGCTGCCCTGCAAGAAAGCAGTGCTGAAGTCAAGAGAGTGTAGCTCTTAGTCACGGTGAGCAGCTACGTGCAGCAGTACCCAAAGAGTGGTCATCTTCGGGGTGGGAGAGAAGGTCTGAAAGTAGTCAACTCCCTACCGCTGACTGAAGCCACGAGCCACGTAACGCGCCTTGAAGACAGGCGGAGAACCCGGCGGCCGCTTCACCCTGATAATCGACATGCCACTGACGATGTTCGCCCCAGGAGGGGGGACAGCGTCAACGTAGGTGCATGTGGACTTCCAGGAAGCCATCTTTGCATCCATAGCTGCCTGCCACTTAGAAGAGTAGGGACCCTCTATCGCCTCCGCGTAAGAGCGCGGAGTCGGGATGTCAAGTGCATCCGGGTCTCCCTCAAGGGTAAGCAGTACGGACACGAGATGAGGTGAAGCAGCGGCCAGGCACTGGAACTTCTCCTGCCTGTCCTCAAGGACGTCCGTGCCAAGGGCACACTCACCCCCGACGGACGGAGGACAGACAGACTCAGACTCAGCGACAAGACTAGCAGCGTAGTCAAGGCGACAGCGAGCAGCAAAGTCGACGAGCTCAGTAACTAGGGCAGACGCAGCAGTGGACTCGAAAGAAGGGTAAATGACGACAGTAGCAAGGAGACGTGTGACAGTAGGACTGGCAGCACGAAGAGAGTCCGACGCCGGGTCGGCAAGAGTAGGAAGAGAGGACTGAGGAGGAGAAGGCAAAGGGGCACGCAGAGGAGCAATGGACGGACGCAGAGACATCCTGTGCGTGCCAGGGACAGGAGGAGGAGGCTGACGCGAACCACGACCACCAGTGCGAGCAGCACGGACAGCGACGCAGGGTGAGACGCAAGCTCACGACGCTCAGCAAGACCTCCAGCAGGACTAGTGTAGGGAGAGGGAGAAGGGAGAGGGGAGGTAGGCTGTAAGTGTAACTGTGACTGGACAGGCTGTGGACACCCTGAAGAAGGAGGAGGACCTGTAGAAGGTGGAAGACCAAGAACCTGCTGCAGGAGTGGAACGAAGTACGGTCGAGGCCGCGCCGCGACACCAGACACAGCAGGGACAGCACCAGTACCCCCAGCAGGAGCACCCGCTCCAGCAGCACCTCCAGCAGCTCCAGAACCTCCAGCAGCACCAGTAGTACCCCCAGCAGGTTTGTGAGCAGTAGGCTCAGCACCAACGCCCGCAGCAGCACCAGCTCCAGTCGAACCCGCGGGCCCAGCAGCTCCAGTACTCACAGTACGAGCACCTCCGGGACCAGCGGCACCAACACCCTCAGCAGCCGAAGAACCTCCAGCTCCAGCAGCACGCCTCCAGCGCCGGGCAAACCACTCGCGGAGCTCTGGTGGAGAGTCTGGCTCCCAGCGAGACGAAGCACCCGGAGGACCTCCAGGCGTAGCACCTCCAAGCTCAGCACCGCCTGACTCAGCACCCCCAGGCACAGCACCTCCAGGCGTAGCACCCCCAGGCGTAGCACCCCCAGGCTCAGCACCCCCAGGCTCAGCACCCCCAGGCTCAGCACCCCCAGGCTCAGCACCCCCAGTCGCAGCACCCCCAGGCTCAGCACCCCCAGTCGCAGCACCCCAAGGCTCAGTACCCTCAGCAGCACCAGAGTCACCAGTAACCTCGACAGGCTCGACTGCGTCTACATGGGACACACCTGAAGGGGCAGGACCCTGAGGGGGGAGGGGGTCTACCGGGGGGGGACCTGGGACAAGGAAGAGCGGGGGCGGGGGGAGGGACGGAGTGCGATAGGGGAAGAGGCGGTAGTAGGGGACTGACTCGTCAAACGTGACGTCCTGGGAGGACAAAACACGGCGAGAGGTGGGGTGGTGAGAAGTGAGACAGGACAGGATCCCCAGAGGGGTCAGCCAGAGACACCGCAACCGGCCAACTAAGCGGCGTGAGTGTGGTGCGGTCCCGAAAGCAGGAGCGAGAAGCCCAGAGTCAAGGGTGAAGGTGAGGGAGGCCGAAGCCGACGCAGTACCTGAGAACGCAGACTCACCAGTACCTGAGGACGCAGACGCACTAGCACCTAGAGCAGCAGCGTCGCAAGCACCTAGGGCAGCAGCCGCACCAGTACCTAGAGCATCAGTCTCAATGCCCAGATCGGGCGGGAAACACTGGTAACAGTCACCCTCATCACTAATAGTCACAGAATACATGGCAGACAGAATCAAAATCAAGATCATAGATGGCAACTCCCGCCCTAGACAGCTCGCCCCAGCGAGGGATCTCCGTGGCCTCAGGGAACTGGTGACGCCACGCGTCCGTCAGGCGGCCAAAGCAGCGCTGGGTGGGGTGCGCACCCCCACACTGCTCACCCGCACGGTCGCCGGTGCGCAGGACGTAGGTGCACGGACCAAAACCCCCACCCCGCTAGCGTGCAGTGTACCACTCACGGAGCTGCTGAGGGGACAGGGTCTCACGACCACGCTGCTGCTGCTGGCGCGGACCACCACCGGAGCCACTCCTCTGCGTAGACCCGCGACCAGCTCCACCGCCACCTCCGCCTCCTCCTCCGCCTACTCCTCCGCCGCCCCCGCCACCACCGCGGCCTCCGCCACCACCGCCGCCACCGCTGCCACCGCCTCCTCCGCTCCCTCCGCCACCGCCGCCGCCTCCGCCCCCACTGCTGCCACCGGTACCCCCACCCCCTCCACCACTCGCACCACCACCCCCACTCCCTCCGCCGCCTCCACCGCCACCTCCACCGCCCCCGCCAGCTCCTCCAGCGCCCTTGCCCCCCTTGCCCTTGCCTGTGCGGCGCTTCCCCGAAGGGGCAGACGCAGCGCCGACCGACTCGAAACCAACGAGGTCGGCCGCAGCAGCAGAAGCAACAGAGGGCAAGAGGGGGGAGGGAGAACACCCCTCAAAGACAAGGGTGCGGGGGTCACCAC